GGGCAAGACTTCCTGACTCAGCTCTTTGGAAAGAAATCTGTAACATTCATGAACAGGGTATGGAACTGGTGGATACTCAGAATGATTGCATTGTTTGGAAGCCTTCCCAAGATGGAAATTTCACTCTTGCTTCTGCATACAAAGAAGTGAGAAATACCCAGTCTGTCACTTTCTCTAATCAGCACATCTGGCACCCAAAACAATTTCTTCCAATCAGGATATTTATGTGGAAGCTGTTTCAGAACATTCTACCTTTACCTTCCAACTTATGCAGATTCAATATAAGTGTTTTCCCCACTCAATGTCCATTCTGTAAAAAGGATAGTATTTCTGCCACTCATATTTTATACAATTGTGAACAGATTAAACCCATTTGGATTTACTTCATGGGTCTTTTCCTTATTCCAATCCCCATTTGGGAGGTGTCATATCGCCAAATCTGTTTTGCTTGGTGGCTTGAGGCCGGAAACAGAACAGTCATGGATATCTATAAACATGTTCTCCCTGGGATTATTTTGTGGCACATATGGAAAGTCTATGCTTCTCTTACTTGGGACAATAGTCCTCCTATCTTCAATCAGGGGGGCCTTCGACAATCAATTAAGAAATTTATATACCACTGGTCAGCTGGTATGAAATTTCCAAAATTAAGCAAGGTCCCTGATTACATCACAGAAGAAGGTCTATTTCCAGTACAAATGCAATTTAATGGTCCTACTTTTCTCAGAATCAACTGGAAGAAACCGAAGAATACCTTTAAATTGAATGTGGATGCATCTGTTAAAAGGCATGGATCCTCAGGTGGAGCTGTTCTTCGAGACACTCAAGGTTCCCTCATCTTTGCCGGCTCATTTCCGATTCAATCCTGCTCAATTCTTGAAGCCGAACTGGAAGCAATTTTCGTAGCCGTGCACTGGTTGGCTTCATCTGGATACGTTGACATCGAAGTTGAATCAGACTCATTAGCAGCTATCCATCTTCTCCGCCAGAATCATTTATCTCCTAGCTATCGATTTCTCACTCAACCCATCCGTCGACTTGCAGCTGAAAAACAGTACTCTTTTCATCATTGTTACAGGCAGGCAAATGAGACTGCCCATCTTCTAGCCCAAGTCGTTTCTCGCACTCCTGAAATCTTCTTCCATCCTTCCCAATTACCAGTTCGAGTTCGTGGAGCTCTGTATTTGGATAGGGAGAGTTGCTCGAACTTTAGGGTTGCCTAATTCATGACCGAGGCTTTCCTATTTCACTCTGTTGCTTTTCATCTTTTATTTCATTTACTGTTTTTTCTTTTGGGCTGGGCCTCCTTGTAATTTTATTTACCCTTTCATGTATTTTAGATGGGATGCCATCTCTTTATTGTAATCGTTTCTTATTAATAAAACCTGGTAAATGTCCCCCGGCATTTACCCCACTGATTTTGATGGTTTGCCTTCCGGGGTAAAAAAAAAAAAAAAAAAAAATTGACGTGTGCCGTATAATCTATTAAAAAAAGATGGTTTCAAGAACACTAAAATCGGGATTAGAAGGTTGTAAATAGGTCGTTAGGACTTAATTGATTGTTTTTTACAAGTAGGCGCATTTATACGACACTTTATTGAGTACATGGCCTTATGTGACATTTCATAATAGTAGAAGGCCTTATTTGACCTTTTTCTCATTAACTAAATTAGGATAATGAGAAATGTAAAAATTCACTAATACGATGTGTTGAAGTTTATTCCCGAAGATCCGAAAGCCCAACACAAGCCTTGGATATTGTAGGGATATTTGGTCGGGTTGGAAAGTGTATAAAATATAAAACAGTGAGATATTTGTTCTACTCAGGAGCTTACTGGTATTCAATAAATATGTGATTACACTGGAACTACCCGAACGGTAGATGATTATAAGAATACAAGGATAAGAGATGTAAATCTATTGTTAAGCTCTGAGTATCAAAATGCTAACCCTTTATAATGATCTAAACATGGGTATTTATACTAAAATGGGGATGGGTAAGGTGGACACGTGGCCGAATCTGGTAGGCTAACGCCTCTGCCATGTAAGCACTCATGCCCCCACTTGCAGCTGTCATGATCCAGCATTAAATGCGGCCTCCACTTGCTGACCACCCGTTCGGGCAAGGTGTTCGGTGTATGGGTCCCCACCATAGGTGTTATCTTGCTATGGAAGTATCCCGAACGCCGATCGATATCTGGGCCTTGATACTTTGGCATAATTATTTCCCGGAATGTTCCAAGTATAAGTTTTATCCCGAATGCCGTTCGGGAGTTCTTTGGCCTGCCTTGGGCCCGCTGCTTCTTCCCGGATTTGGGCCTAGGGATATTGGGCTTGGACCTAATATCCCAACACGATGAATTTAATTACTATGAATTCAAGTGTAACTAATATAATTGTATAACTAATATAATGTTTATAGTATATAATATATAAGTATATTACTATAAGATGAGTAATACACTTATATCTAATACTTTAATATATATATATATATATATAAGTAAATAACAATAAATATAGATAATAAGTAGATATCAAAGTAAATATTAATAAGATGGAGACGTATAAGTAGATAATTAATATATTAAGTAGATAATAAATATTAGTAATATAATATATGTATATAAGTAGATAATTAAATATATAAGTTGATATGATAATAATTATATAAATAATATATATATGTAGAGAGATTTAGAGAAGATGAAGATGGAGATGATTGAGTATGAGAGAATAGAAAATTAGATAGTAGGAGTAGGATTGTATGATGAATTGAAGATGATGTAAAAAAAAATGTATAGAAAATAGGAGTATAAATAGGTTTTTTTATATCCCCACCCACCCCCACCCCCAAAACCCCCCGGACTCCCCCTCCTAGCCCTCCAACCGCTATAGAGCCATTTGGGATTATTCCCAACGGCTAGAAGACCTTTTAATTATATTTTTTTTTTAAATGTAGCCGTTGACAGCCCGGACCGGCCGGGCCGGTTCGCCATCTGAAGGACCCGAGCCCGGACCGGATCCCCCGCGGGTCGGACCTACCCGGACTGGTCACTGACCGGGCCACCGGGCTAGGCCGGAACAGTGCCGGTTCGGCCCGATTCTGGGTCGGGCCACCCGGCCCGAGTCCAGGCCTATTTTACATTACAATCTTCAATACAATAAACATTGTGTGTGTGTAAGACAATGATCATTTAATAAGGTACACCTAAAATTAATAATTTTAGACCTCTTTCATTTTAGGTGTTTCCGGGTCAAATTTTTTGATGAATTTTGTGTACATGTTTCTCCATGAATTGTAGATTATGTTCACCAGATTTAAACTTAGAATTCAATTGGGAAGTCACTTAAATAAATTATTGAAAAAACTGCATTTTACGCGCGCGCGCACACACATATAAAGATACACAATTTTCATCAAATTTCGTTATCTTAAACTTAATTTTAAACTGAAATTTGGTGGACACTATCTACACTTCATAGAGAACATATTCACAAACCATCATTAAAAAAACACCAAGTAATGTGAGTTGACAGAAACCAATGTCTGTATACACACAAAATATGTCTGTGCACATATATTTTTGTTTGTGCGCAGACTGTGAAATAATGGAACAGGCTGCTCACAAAGGAGCACTGGTTGATCTATTTATAATAAAGAGTTTGATGTAAAAATTCATAATCAACCCTAGTCTATTACACCTCCCCTCAAGTTGTACGAGAGAAACAATGTGCAGGTTGTCCTTTAAAAATGAAAACGTTAATTAGAAACATATTGAACCACCAGATTACCATGCGCTACTCGTTCTTTAACAAAGTGGTAGTCAATTTTAATGTGCTTGATCCGAGCACGCTGAACCGGTTTAGCCGTCAAGTAGGAGGCATAAATATTACTCTCCCGTCCCTTATAACTTTGCCAACTTTCCTTTTTTGGATGTCCCATTAACTTTGTCACTCTCCCATTTAAGTAAAAAATTTGTGGTTCCAGTTAATTATCTCTCCTCTGCACAAACCTCAACCACACTGTTTTTACTTTATTAATCCTCGTGCCGGTCAAACTTGGCAAAGTTATTAGGGACGGATGGAGTATCACATAATAAATATACCGGGACAGTGATGGAAAAATCCAACTCAAACAATATAGAGTGAATGTGAAAAGTGTCTTGGAAAGTGTATGCAATGGCCCGATACTCGGCCTCCGTCGATGATTTAAAATTTGAGTGCTGATCATTAAAATTTGGCCTGGCTCTATTAAAATGAAAAAACAGTTTTTTGGAATACACCAAATTAAAACAACAAAAGTTTGATACTGAATTGCGGATTAATAAGAAACGGTGTTGGGAAAAAAAAAACTTCAAAACAGTACGGAACATGGAAATACTTCGTATAAATGTTTGTACCATTAATGCATACATATGTAGGACTTGTTATTGATTAATTGGAGATAGTGCAAAAATAGAAGTAGCTTTCTAAAAATTCCAATGTAGAGTTTTATGTATGTTTTTACGTTTTCAGTCCCAAGACCAGATCAGACAAGTTCGGATCAGACCAGACCAGACTTGGATAGTTTTAAAATACATAAAGACATTACCAACAAATTTCAGTTGAAGTAAAAACATCCTAAAACTTCTGTAGGGATATTAGCTTTTGCCACCGTCATAGTGCTTCCGCCTCAATTAGAGCTCTGTCTTCGCCAACAATGATGACGTGATTATCCAAAGGAACCAGGAGGCAATTGAGTATATTAAGAGTGTTTTTAATTGGACGGTAATCTGTACCAAATTATACTAAATCAAACCAACCAAAATAGTTATAAAAATACAAAGAAACCACCAGACTAGATCAACAAATTACACTTCAAATAAAAACATCCTAATTAAGCAGATTAGTGATATAGAAATAAAAGTTAGTGTTTCGTCTACTTAAGGAAGATTGGATATGAACTCCTACGAACAATTATTTTAATTAATTACATATATATGTATGGATGCAGATAGTGGTGATGCAATTAGACTACGAAGAAAGTGATGGGGAGGAAAAGAAGAAGAAAAGAAGAGCAGCCATGATTGCTGCCGCTGACTCTGCGGAGGTGGAGTCAATCTCGATGGACGACACTAATAATGTGCTTACAGTTACAGGGAGCGCGGGCGCAGTGACGGGCAGGGTGTTTGAGCTGATGAAAGGTAGGAACAAGCAGAAAGGCGCCTACCCCACACCACATATTGACTCTCTCGGTGCCAAACCAGCTGCTAAAAAACCAGATGATGCGGCGGCGAAAAAGGACAGCAGTGAGGAGGCGAAGAAAGGTGACGGCGACAAAGAAAATGGGAAAAGCAACGGCGATTCAAAAATCGAAATACAGGCAATTACTTTTCTACTCTATATATAAAGCCCCTTTGGTAGCATTGAATCGGCCGATTCTGTTGCAGCTTATGAAATTATTATGGTTGAACTGGCTGATTAATGAAAAATTATATTTAAAATATTTTTTATTAATCAAATAATGAAAAAATTATATGAAATATAATTAAAATGATCATCAACAGTAACTTCAGCCAATACAGACCGAAAAGTAACTGCAACCTTACTTTTCTTATTATTACACAATTAAGCACGCGAAATAAAAAGTAACGTGTTTGATGAAAAAGTTGGGTAAATACGAAAAACAGGGTCAACAAACGGGCTCATATCATGCATGCGTTCATGCTTGCTTTTAAATTACTTGCGCTGCATACATGGAATGTAGAATAATAAAGTAAACATTGGATAGTGGAAATTTATACATAAGGGAAAAAATAGAAGCCACAAGTCAATTGATTAAAAGAGAAAATTGTAAAGTTTTTTAGAGAACGGAAAAGGAAAAATGACAAAATTATAAGAGACGAAAGAAAACATTACATAGATTTATGCATACTGCTATTATTTAACTTAGCTTCTCAACTCATGAATCAATCAATTGGCCTGGTATGTATCCTCAAATCCTCAATACATTTAACTTAATGGTACCGTTTCGAAATTCTTCCACAAATAATCGTAGTATATATATATATATAAACCAATTTTCACACGAATTCGATAAAACAATGTTGTGAATTTCCGAGTCTATCCTTGGTCAACTTGGTGAGCAAGTAACTTGGGATACATTGTGTGCGTGTGTGAAGCATATAAATAGATGACAGAGATGTCGTATTAGGGCTAATGATTGTAATAATAGAGTTTTGAAAGAGTTTCTTTATTACATAAAGAATTATTTCCGCTTTCTAGATATATCGTCTTCTTCTCGATATTTGGTATCAGAGATTTGAAGAATGGTAGAAAGTGACGGCGGTTCAGGATCAATGGTGGGAGGAACCAAGAAAGGGTTGGGGTCATCTTTCTCATCCATGTGCCGATGCTGACTGCTACGGATTACACAGTGTAGGCAGGGTTGGTCCTGAGAAAACACGGGCCCTGTGCAAAAATAAAATATGGACCTTTTTCTAAATTAAGCAGAAATATAATATAACTAACATAATATTTGTGAAAATTTGAAGATAATAAGTGAAGATTATATTTGAAAAAAATTGCTACAATAATAATTAATATCATTCTCTCGAAAAAAAATTATATCAAAATATAAGTTATTCACTAACATAATAGTGAAAATAAAAATATTCCTTAACAAAATACGCTTCATTTATTTGTTAAATTGAATTATAAATTGATAGACTGATAACATAATACTCTGTATCTACTAGTTTACTAATTTAATGTAGATAATATTAATCATTGTATATATAAAGACGTAAATTGAAACAATGTTGAGGTGGTTCACAGTACTCATGCGTGAGAGAGTGGTATGGTTTCGAAACTTCCTAGCGGTTGAACTTTTTAATTGAAGCTATGAGATTTACCTATTGGGCTCAGATTGGTTTATATAATAGGAAGATTATTAAAAATTTGGGCCCTAAGAATTCATGGGCCCTGTGCGGTTGCACTGTTGGCACCTGCCCTAGGCCGGCCCTGAGTGTAGGCGATTCGTATGAAGGTGATCCTGAACGTACATCAAGTTTGGGATGTAATTGATCCAGGTTCCGCCGATCCAAAGCAGAACAATATTGCTAAAGCAGTTCTCTTTCAAGCTATTCCCGAATACCTAATCTTGCAAGTCAGCACGATGGGTACGACGAAGGAGATATGGGAAGCCATTAAAACCCGTCATCTTGGTGCAGATAGGGTACGTGAGGCTCGATTGCAAACCCTAATAGCTGAGTTCGATAATTTGAAGATGAAGGAAACAAGTATTATTGACGAATATGCGAGCCAATTGTCAGGGATTGAGTCTAAGTCTTCTACTCTTGGAGAAACTCTTGAAGAGAAGAAGCTCGTCAAGAAGTTTCTTACTAGCCTACCAAAGAGATTCATATTGTAGCAGCGATCGAACAAATCCTTGATATAAAAACTGTCAAATTTGAAGATGTAGTTTATTAAAAAAAAATTGAAGATGTAGTTGGACGTTTAAAAGCCTATGAGGAATGCATCCATGAAGAAGTACCAGACAACGATCAGGGAAACCTGTTGTTCCAAAAGGCAGAAACGTCAACCCCACAAATTTCAACTCAAGCAGGGGTGGACGTGGTCGTGGATCCGGGCGTGGCCGTGGATTTGGACATGGTCGAGGATCATACAATTCGAATCAGGAACAAAATCAATCTGCAGTCGCCACCAGCAGCAAGCCAGATAAATCAAAAGGAAAAGAAAAGGGTCGATCCAAAGTGCAGTGCTACAAATGTGACAAATTCGGTCATTTTGCTTCAAAATGTCCGGACCGGCAGGCAAAACAGTACGAAGCTCATGTATCCGAAGTAGAGGACCATGATCCGCAACTGTTCATGGTTAGGACTCTCTGTGAGACTATACTTTTAAACGAAAGAAATGTGATACCAAGCAGGTATGAAACTCGAGATAATAAGAATGACTTGTGGTACTTAGATAATGGTGCAAGCAACCATATGTCGGACAATCTTTCATTCTTTTCAGAGATTAATAATAGAATTGAAGGAAGAGTAAAATTCGGTGATGACTCGTGTGTTAAAATTCAAGACAAAGGATCCATTCTGTTTGGAAGTATAACACGAGAACAAAAATTACTCACTGATGTCTACTACATCCGAAGTCTTAAAGCTAATATAATTAGTTTGGGACAAGCAACTGAAAGTGGGTGTGAAGTCTCTATGAAAGGTGATTACTTGATCCTTTACGATAAATGGTAAGGTGTTCCCCAGCCCTTACCCCATCCTATGATGGTTTCCCACTGGGTTAAAAAAAAAAAAAAAATGATCCTTTACGATAGTCGAGGATCTCTTCTTTTCAAGGTTAAGAGATCGGTGAATAGACTCTACAAAACCATCATCTCGGTTGGAACACCCGTATGTCTTTATAGTCGGCTAAATGATCAAGGGTGGATATGCCATGCAAGACTCGGGCATGCTAACTTTGATACAATTCTGATTATGTCAAGAAAGAGCCTTGTCAAAGGCTTATCATCCATCACGGGGAATATTTAGCTATGCGAGTCATGTTTAGTCGGAAAACACACTCGAGGAGCCTTTCCTCAAAAGTCATCCTACCGTGCTACACGGTTCTGGAACTTGTCCATGGAGACCTTTGTGGGCCGATATCACCGTCAACGATTGCTGGAAATAGGTATGATTTATTCTGATCGATGATCACTCACGTTTCATGTGGAGTTATCTAATGAAAGAAAAGAGAGAAGCTATATACTATTTCAAGGAGTTCAAAGCAAAAGTTGAAAAAGAAACTGATAGTGTTGTGAAAACATTTCGTACTGACAGAGGGGGTGAATTCACATCACTAGATTTTGATAAACTATGTGATGAGCATGGGATGATGAGACATCTCACTGCACCCTACTCACCGCAGTAGAATGGCATGGTGGAACGAAGAAGTCGTACACTTCTCGAGATGACACGAAGCATCCTAAAGACAAAGCAAGTTCCGAATTGTTTTTGGAGTGAAGCTGTGCGACACTCAACCTACATCATAAATCGGATCCCAACTAGAGCACTGAAGGAGATGACACCGTATGAGTGCTACTATCTTCAGAAACCAAATATTGAACACCTACGTATATTTGGGACAGTAGCCTACGCGAAGATAGTTAATCCATAATTAAAGAAACTCGATGATCGGTCCAAGAAAGTCGTGTACTTTCAGTCAAAATCTGGATCTAAGGCCTACCGCCTATTTGACGCAAGGTCACGTAAGATAATTGTGTCAAGAGACTTAGTTTTTTTTATGAAAATTCAAGTTGGAATTGGGATGAGGAGAAAACTTCAGTGCTAAAACCTGGCATGTTCTGGGTTCACTAGTCGAATCTCGTTGACACCGAAGATGGACCAATAGTTGGTGAAGCTGATCAAACCAATCAGACTAATGAGCAAAACAATGCAGAGAGTAGTGAAGCTGGAATGAGCCAGCACATTTAGCAGCCTCACATGCAGCTATCCGGAGTTCAACATGATGCTCTACAGCTGCGGAGATCAAATCGGGACCACTCAATATCCGAAGAAGTATGATGACTTTGTGGTTAATTTTTGTATTGAAAATCACGAGCTCCTCCTAGCCCTTAATGAGGAAGAACATCAGATTACCATGAAGCCAAGTCAAATCCTAAATGGGTTAAAGCAATGGAAGAAGAAATTAACTCCATTGAGAAAAATGGCACGTGGCAGCTCGTCAGGAGACCAAACAACACAACCATCATCGGACTAAAGTGGGTGTTCAAGGTTAAAAGAGATGCAAATGGATCCGTAAGCAAGTACAAGGCAAGAATTGTAGCAAAATGCTATCTTCACTCGCACCATTGATTTTAAAGAGGTATTCGCACCAGTCACTCGTATTGAAACTGTTCGAATATTAATAGCTCTTGCAGCTTCAAAAGGATGGGAGTTACACCATCTTGATGTAAAATCTGCATTCTTACACGGTGAACTACAGGAGGAAGTGTTTGTTCATCAACCAGAAGGTTTTGTGAAGAAAGGGTGTGAAGAGTCAGTATACAAGATTAAGAACGCTTTGTATGGCTTAAGACAAGCACCTCGCACATGGAATATAAGACCTCGCACATGGCTGCATCCGCAGTAAGTTGTCAAGCAGTTTGAATACGTAATTTACTTGGAGAAATTACAAGATCTAAAGTTCCAGGAGTATCTCGTTTGGAACATAAAGATTATGAAAAAAATATGAAGTTTCAGCGATGTGTGAAAGACACGGCAGTGTATCAAAGAAGCATAGGGACAGATTTTATCATTGTTGGCGTCTATGTGGACGATCTCGTTGTCACCGGAACTTGCACGGATC